TCCTCTACATACAAGGATGGCTTCAATAGTGTGATCACTACTGCTTACATAACATTGCTACTTTTGTTGTTGAACAAGCGTAGATCAATTCCTTTATACTCGGTATACGACTTTGCAATTGTCATGATACTCACTTCCATTTCGCCTGTTCGCCGAGCTTGGCAATTTGTTTGCAAACGTTCATCACCACCTGAGGTGACATCATCAATGCGTGTGAAGTGGCAGTGTTCTGCCTGTACCCGTTCGTTTATATATGCGTTCTTCTCCACGGATTATTTTCGTCCCCTGTTCTCAGTGTTCGACTCGGTTCGCCGCTAAACTGCTGCGAGGGGTTTAGGGTGGAACGGGGGAGGTTGTCGTTTCGTCCCAATTGTGGTTTCCGTCCGTTCTCAGGTCACGCCGTGACCTTTCTAGTTGCGTGATTTAATCCTTGAGTTGCACTGATGTGTACACGTGATCCAGTTCGATGTGCCTGTTTATTGAGTTGATTGCGAGGTGCCAGGCCTCGAGAAATTCTCTGGCGTGTTTTGACCGGGCTTGGTCGATAATTCTCACTGATTCGAAGTCAAATTGATGTCCTTCTTGATCTTCTTGGAGGGGAAATCAATGATAGTGGGTCATGCCTCCTGACTGCCGATTGGTGTTCACGGATCCTTGTTGACAGTTTTCTCCCAGTTTGTCCGATATAGTGTTTTGAGCAGTTCTTGCAGTTTATTTTGTAGATGATGCTGCTCTTGTCCTTCTCCATTGTTCTCTCCTTGGGTTTTGACAGAAGTCCCTTTAGACAGGCGATCGGTTTGTGGGCGACTTGGATTCCATACGATCTGAGCAGTCTTGCTGTCATTTCCGAAACGTCCTTGATGTACGGCAGGGTCGTTCTTGTTCCGGATTCTCCGTCTGTTGTTTCCTTCTTTCTTTGAGCCAGAGTTCTTTGATATTTTTGACGCGTCGACTTATTGCATCTTCAAGCTGTTCCATCTGCCGTTCGTTCAATATAGTTCGACAGTTCTCCTGTTCTTCTTGTATAACCTTCTTGTACTTGATAAGACGTCTGTGAGCATCCGAGATCATCATGCGCACCATGCGTCTTCCGAATTGGTGTGAAATCCTCCAGGCCTCCGGGTGATTGATCGGTGGTCTATGGTATACACTCCGTGGAAGTTGATTGCGCCGTAGGTATTCATGAAGAAAAAAATAGCTGCTCGTGAGTGGAGACTTCTCAGCAGGCGAAAACCTTCCATCGACCAGCTACTTTTAACGTTGTACGCCTGAAAAATGTTGACAAAATATTGATACTCACATTGGGTCAGGCAGGCAACGAAGTTGCTTGTCGCTGTTTTAATTCGCCCACCGATTAACCGGTTTATGTTTTCTGGTTTTACGTGACAACCGACTCNTAAGTCACTGTACACACGCAAGTGAACGATTGGGTAATCAATGGTAATGTGAGGAGAGTCATTTAATCTTCGAAACTTATGCACAGTATCGGCCTGTCGGTAAATGTTGCTCCTAGAGTAGCAGTAGCATAGGTACAGGAAACAGTTATTCTTATTGATCGTTTAGGGTTTCTCTAATCACATCGTCTTTCAAAGGCAGTCGTAAGAAAAACCTTTTTCTTTCAACTTATCAATGTTTCTGATGGTGGTGTTTTTTTAAAGTGTTATTCTCAACGAACTGTTCAGGGTATTCCTTCTGTAGAGTTCACTTCTCGGATTAGTTCGACCAATTCAGATGACTCTTATAGGTTGAAATCTTCTATCTCACCAGTCCCACTATGTTTATCAATCATCGAGCAATTGAGCGCTAAGCGGAGTTTCTCAAATTTGGTAGCTGACCAATCGTATTCCCACTGTTTGTGTCACATTTTCCTATTTGTCCCTCATGAACATGTCATAGTCGTGTTTTTATCCTTTAGGATCTTTCTAATCTTTCTGCGTAATTTGTTCGGTGCTGTAGTACCAATCTACCACCCGTGATGTTATGACATAGTTTGTACATAAAAATGCACGTAACTATGAGGCCTTACAGGTGAACTTACGAAAACCCTTTTTATGATTTGTTTTTTCCATATTTTTCAATCCATCTTCCATCGGGAACTGAGTAAACCGAAGCAGAGAAGAATACCTACAACTACCATAGGCTCACTTCACTATAAAAAAGCTCAGTTCATCAATAAAAAACAAATCAAAGAATGCAAAACTGCAAAATTAAAATTGACGATGATTTCGTTCTGCCACGTGTTATTCCGACACGGAATGCACTTGTTTGTGTACAGTTAATCTCAGAGCCAAACAACTGGCATCGGTTCAAATGTTTTACACATCGAAACATTGTGACCCCCCACTTCTTGGACAAACGATTTTCTCACCCTATTTATGAGCATTCGATTGTGCAATATTTATACAGTGTGGTAGTTAAACGCAACTGAGAGAATGTCACATGACCAGTGCACAGATAATACAGATATTCTCGCGAATGGGGCGTTTATCGGTTATCTTTATGAGAAGAACAGTTGACTGATACGGTAACCTATACATTTCAAGGATAGTTCATCGGACTCCTACCTCCGATTTGTATCCTTAAGACAGAAAGTACACAGTTCGTAACGATCAAACATTGAATCCTTCGAACGACAAACAGCAAACTTGAAGAATAAACTACCATCGGGATCACGTTTTATTACGTGACCTGCAAAATGACAGATAATATCTGAAATGATCTGCAAGAACCGTCCAAAAGCTTGGAAAAAAGATTAGTTGAAGTGTATTTTAATCGGATAGAATAATCTATGCACTCTTTTGAAAACTAAAGTTACTCAAGTTTGTATCTAAATAGAACTCAGTTGAGAGCATCCGATCCGGTAGTAAAATCTGTTTGTTTTTTCAACAGTTTCATAGAACGTTGAGTTTCCCTGGAGAAAACTGTTATTCGTGTAAGTATTTCTTCTATACGAACTGCTTCCAATTGTTTTCTTGTCACAGTAAAAGGAACCATATTACATAACGAAGTCTCTTGCAGTCTGTTATGTTTCGCTAATCTGGTACTCGTAAATCTGTCATCATGTGTTGCATCAGTGAATATACCGTAAATAGCTTAACTGATTTTCCGGCTTCTAGAAAAGTGTTTTTTATTTCAGTTCAGCTAAGATGCTGTTATAAAAGATTAGTATAAGCCCCCATTTCTCACACTCATTAATTGTTTTTCGCATTGCAGGATTTCCTTCTGATTCAGTACTGTCTTTCAATTCTCGCATTGTGCTATCTTCAAGCACTGATTTGTTATTACGACCAAAAAGAGAATTTACGACAAAAGCGCCACTTGAAATTTCTACAAAAGTTGAACGAGGAAGAGCATCAGGATTATTCAATGCAAATGACCGTCCGAGATGAACCGGATAGCTATGAATATTCTTCCCCGATGTCTCAGCGTTACGCATTCACAGAGAACGTAGCGCCCAATACGAATCCGCCTGGGGATCACTCCATGGACGGGAATCTTCCCGATCCCTGCAAGCCGCTGGAACAATCCAGTGTGACTGGTAAGTTGCGAGCACTGGTTTTTTTAATCTTACAATGAAAAAATAAAACGACTGACCCGAAGGTCCATTTGTACTGTTATTTTAATGTGATCAGTTGGTCGTTTGCAAAGCTGCAAACAGTTTGAAATCGTGAAAATGATAACCATGATAGTGTTTCATTATAACTTGAAAGAACTATTGTCCGAATTCTGTCAGAAATATGCACATTATATGTGTTTCATTATCCGTGATAACCACCCAATGACATTGCATCTCTGTCTTCCTTACCTCAACGCGAAAACGACACCGGGGGAAACAAGCATCCGTGAGTTACGATCAATTGCTTGACAGTCCGAATACTAGTCCGATTCCTGTCCGGGCAGCAGATACCGTTACGGACGTAAGCCCTCTCGAAAATGACACGGAAAGAGGAACGGTAAGCGATGCCCAGATTTGGATCTTCTATTCCAAACCACCCGGGGAACTTTGTGTGAATAATACGGAACTCCTGAATCGTCTAGGTTTGATTTGTTCTCACGGGCTATTCTTTCCCTATTCGAATATCTTCTGCAACGTTATCTGTGCCCTTTGTAATAGATATTGTAACTGTAACTAGCATGAGTTTTGCACATATGCACACGTAGTTTTCAGTCAATGCATGACAAGGTGAAACAAAATATCAGTAATAAAAGATGTTTAATGGCTAGGTGATTGCGGGTGTTCGCCAGAACCTTCCACCAATTATCGCTCAAGTTTCTTGTTCCGATATGCGTTCCCAGTGGAATAGAACCAAGATTTGGGATTATAGGAAATTTGTATTCTGATACTTCCGAAGTGTTCGGAGTGAGTTATTGCTAGCTTAAGCTATTATTCTCGCAACGGCAGCGGAAATCTAAAAATAGATCTGATCAGAGCAGCGCAAGCGTGCAATAAATAGCTCATTGTAGGGAATCGTCCCGGTGCGGTTTATTTGAACTCACTAAAAGCACGATAATAGTAAGAGCAAAACTCAACCCTGGAAGTTTCCAAGTTGCAATATGGAATAAAGAAACCTTCTCTGTGATCGATTGAGAAAAAGGCTCCTTATCTTAGAAGGATAAGAATAACTTTGGCCTAGTTTCTGTAATAACTAGGTATGATCAAAGGGTTACATTGCTACTGGATATCTGAACCATGTTGGTTCTGATAAGTATGGCATGGTTACGTAACCATGTTCTGATAGTCTTCAATTACACAGGAATGGTTGAAAACTGGAACCTGTCCTGCCGCTAGTCACACCAGCGTAGAGTGAAGGTGCTTCTGATCCGTGATTTGATAACCACGTCCAGCGTATACGGATCTACAAGGAAACTTAGGGAAAGTCATAGGCAAGAAGAGAAAACTGCCGTTGTGAAACTGTCGATTAAAGAACCGCTACACATACATATAGGCTATAAAGTAAAAGCGTTGGAAGGAATTAACGGATAACTCTCTCCCTCGTTGTTCTTTTTACCAATTCGTTCCTGAATTCAAACAGCAGAGTTTACGTGCCGATCAGTGAGGGAGGAAATAAGTTGGAAAACAAGGTGAAAATATGGGGGGGGGGTTGTTAGAATGCTCTGAGCGACTGTACACAGGAGTTTTCGGGTCAAATTGTTCATTGATATTAGCGAAACACGGTTGATGATTGATCAACTCAAAGCCCTGATGTCCACTTTCTGCGAAATACAACAGGTAGACAAAAAAGTAATCTAGACGGGACGCACTAATCTATTGCTTTGAAAAAAAATTTTTTGTGGGGTTTGGGGCTGCCGGGGTCTGAATATTCGAATGAGAAAATAAGTGAAAAATTGTATCAATACATTTAAATGAAATAACAGCGATTACCATGGACTATGCTAGAAGTAGACTGCTCACTCAATTAAATAGCGTTTGTTGCACAGAAATGAATCGTGTCTTTTTCGTGCGTCATGCTTAGTGTGAAAAATAAAATAAACCACAAATCACCAAATTTGTATTATTGCGGTAACAGTGACCAAAGTACTAAAAAGGAATATTCTTCTGGGTCGTAGAAAACATAAATATCTCCCCAGTTATCACCATCAGCTCACTAGTGCTTCTGGATGGAGTATCGAACGAACATCTTTTAGGTAAAATTGTATAAGGTAATACACTATCCAGTCAGTTGTAATGCTAGTAGACTATACAGACTAAACAACGTTGGAAAACTATCACATCTTATTGCGTACTGTCACATAGAACATGAATGAAAACCAGTGAATAGAGAAGGGTAATCACTTATTCCCATGACGATCAAACTTAAACAATGGTTGTAGGTAAAAGATTGGCTGATATAAACTATGAGTTCATCGAGGCGAGCGTTGCAGACGGGTTGTATATTCCCAATAGAGGCTGCAAAGGTGATTCGGTATACACAGGGGAAGCTTTGGGTTCTAAGACGAATGCACCTTTGTCCCACCCTGACGAGTTTTCGCCGCAGTCATCGTAGAAGGAACAGTGAGAGTTAAATATATACAAGGAAGAGGTTTGTTCAAACTACCTCGACCTGGCTATAAGTTAAACTTCTGTCCACACACCCCGATGTATTTCGCATTCAAGCATGCGGTCCCTCATTCTACTCTTCTTTTTTGCTTGCATTTGTGTATGTGGAACAAAGTACAGCGGACACACGATCAGGTTAAGTGAGTTTGAATGCTACACAACACCTGACTGATTGAATTTATCATTCCATTATTGTCACTGGCGTACATCCGACGGAGTTTAGTCGCTTAATGCAAATGGCACCGTCATTGCTCGATTGTTTTACGCAATTCTAAAATACAAAACTAAGCCATTCAGGACTTTCAGGGCAGTATTAGATGGTGGTCAAATGGTATACGTCGCCGTCTGTGACTTGATTCGAGCCCTAGGGTCCGGAGGTTCGAACCATCCAACTTTCGTGGTGTCAGCTTTACAATCGCCCTGAATAGTACACCTCTGGTACTGAATCCTCTTACGGTTCACCAACCCATATCCCCGGGGTTAGGTTTTCTGTTCCCACGAGTCAACAATAGGTTCTCATTGTGATGGATTTTAACCCTAATGCCGCTCGTCCCACGATATGGTGTAATAAAAAACATCACAAGATTCATCCTCAAAAGCACAAATCATCTCAATTTCATTCCTCAGAAATAAAAGTTGGAACGGTTGACCTTTATCATAGAATTGGGACACCACATGGAACGTGGAAACGGTACCCACTTGCCTCTGGAATTGATTTTGTTGCGTGCCATGTGATACACATTGTATTGCACGAATAAAAGAGTAAAAAAATTATCAGAGCCCCCCTAACTGGATAGAGTTCAGAAAGTGAATAGTTCATTCTTTTTACACAAATCTAGCTCACATCATTGAAATTAATATCGTAGTGTTTCGTTGCATGAAGTTAAAAGTACAATGAAGGTAGTTGCGGTTAATGTGTGGCTTTGGGATCTCCATCTCTCGGTTTTTTACAATAATTTATAATCACAAGCGGGTGCGATCAACCACCTTTGGTTGAAGTTGTCATTTTTTCGGCTCGTGCAGGCAATCGAGTTATCCCCCGTATATAGATAGAGGACATTAAGTTCGTTAATTGGAGTCAGGTAATCTTTTTGCTTCATTATTCATGTGCACAATTGTCTTCTTAAGTATATGTCTGATGAGGTGCGACAAAACAGACCCAAATATAAGTGTGAAAAATATTCATATTATCCTTTTAATTTAGCTACGCCTCTCCTCTGATTGCTATCCATCTCCTTTGACCACTACTTTGATCAATTCCATGTTTGTTGCAGTAACGTGAGACCGAGAATAGACACATCGGATGCAGCCAGCGCATATTAGAAACAATATTGCATTGGTAGCAGCCAGTAAAGTTTGATCACAGTATCCTGACGACTGGAAAAAACGATTCCTTACCATCGGAAATGAACTGTGAAGTAATTTAGCATAGAAATTCATTAATATCGAACAAGAGACCAAAGAAAACCGTAAACCATTCATCCGTTTATGACAATCCGTGCACTGAGAACACATTGACCTTAAATGGATGAGTAAGATGTAATCCATTTACAACAACCACCAAATCATTTTATTTCGCCTATTGGCACATCCAACAAACTCAAGTTGCTTGTTCTGTCCGTTTCTATGACAGTGTACTCATCCCGTTACACCTGTCACAAAACAAGTGTTGGTCGCATCGCGAATCAGCTACCTCAATGCATTACAGAGCATTGGGGAGATGGATGGCGCCACCGTCCGTAACTTGTCAGCCACTGGTCAACGAGTGAGGAAAGAACCAGCTTTTGCATTACCTGTCCTTTACACCGGACATATAAGAGGTCACGTCTTCTCGCGCCAGCCATGTGCTTTCGTCGGTTTTCAACGTAGACAGAAGCAATTAACAGACGCATTGCCAATACTATGTGAACAGTGCCTCAAACTCTGTCGGTTTATACATGGAGGAGACGGCCACCGCAAAGAATAGACCGAAAAATGGACTAGGTAGGGCAAACTAATTGAAGGGAACTGGCCAAAAAACTCCAGAGTTTATATCAAGAGCATCCTGTGATAGACAGAACTAATGTTCACAAATTTATTTACGATCAGTCGCAGGCTACCAAATCGTACAACGATCTGATAAAAATGGTGTAAGCCAACGGGCCAGTAACAGAGCTTTACAGCTACAAAGCAGGTCATCGGAGTACGGATTGAAACGTATGTACTTCACTATCCAGAGCGTTAAGGATAGCGATTCTCAGAAATACATCAACACTTGCGGACTGATTCCCGTCTTTCTATTGAGCGCGGAACCCCAGCAGAATGTCATCGAACTCAAAAAGCTCGCGATTTAATGAAATAGGATAAAATATATGTTTCATATTCAACCGAGTTTTATTGGGATTCATTTTTTTCATTTGGTCTTTCGTATATGCATTAGATGCCCCAAGTGAATGACTGTTTTAATCTTGAAATCGTATAAACCGGTATGACTGCATAACTTAAAGTTTACCTAGCAGTGCAGATTAAAACTTCTGAACAGATGCACAAGTGTATTTCTGAGAGAAACTAAAACATGTGCCATGCTCAAGCAATGACTCAATGGATAACCGTTATCCTTTTATGCGTAATCGCTATATTCATTGATAGGAAAATTTCGATTTGTAAACTTCCTCGACGACGCTTGTGGGTTTCAGCACAAATCGCGTTAATTTACTTAAATGGAAAGAATGATGAGAGCTCTAATCAATCGCTAAAAAGCTTGGTTCACACTGTTTTATCATATTCACTGCAGAACTTCAACAAACGTTTCAGCGGTCTACTCGTATCCCTCTCGGATACGATTAAAGAATAGATGCGATATAATGTTAGTCTGCTTTACACAAGTGTAAAATCTTCTCAGTCATTAGTTTGTATTATATGGGGTCCTGGACTCTGTTTTAATTTCCTTTTAGGCTAAGAAATGCAGTTCCTTGTCTACGCAAGTTTTCTTGACTACCGTGTAGCAGGTGCAACCAGTTATTTGCAACTGGTGAGCCGTTATGACCTTCAGTGGTTGACCAATCAGAAGTCGCCCGAACAAACCGAGGACACCAAATAGGCATATATGCAGGTGCTTTGAAATAATGAAGTAATACAGATGTCGAACAGAAAAGCATAGAGTTCTGAAACACATACGATTGGATTTTTGGACATCTTACACGTTTGAACGGGGTCGTGAGTTCTTTGTTGTAAGCCATCTGGAACGTATAAATAGTTAATCGATTGACCATCGGAAGTTCAGTTACGGTTACGATCAACAATGATCGCTGTCAAACAATAAGACTTGAATGGCTCGGGAGGAGACCCAAAAATTAGGTTATCGTAAACAGTCATGGTGATTTATTCACTCTTTGGTTCACTCGCGTGTAGCCAACGGACCACTAGGGATCAGGCGGAATTGACATCGGAAGTAGATTTTGTGCCAACGGGGTGAAGAGCATTGATAATCACTTGAAAATCTGATATCATATCTCTCGAATTTAAACATTCTGTACTCTCAATTTCTACAAGGACAATGAAGACATCAAACAAAGACGATATGGAGTTATACGAGTAGCACGTCAGTGAACTTGATAACAAATAGCATTTTCACATTATCTCAGTTAGGTAAGATTAAATAGATTGTAAATTTAAAATGAAGTAACCGTATATTTGCACATTCAAAGTTCACGGTTGTTACAGAGAAAACAACTGGAGTGGTCAGGTGTTTACAATAGCTATTTGGGGTTATTTATCAGCATCTAAAGCTTCCACCAATTTTCTTCACTTGATGAGCAGCGTCTTTGGAATACACACAGGTACCGTTCTTATCAGTTGGCTCGTGTATCTTCCCAGCTGGAAGCTTTGAATCTGCAAATAATACTTCATATATGCACATTTGTAATGAAAACCTGTCTGTGGAATACTATGGTTGGGCTTGATCCAGCGCATGTTCAAGGACTTTGGTGCATTATCACCTTCTATTCCTGCTTGGAAGACACTTCTACCCGTGAGGTATAACATTCTCTGAAACGCCATCAGAAAAAGTGCTTCATAGGTCATCACTGAAATACACCTCCTAAACAAAATGAAATGTGATCTTGCTAAGAGCTAGGCACATGTTTCGCTCTATGACTGGGTTCTTTGATTCCCACTGTCACAAAATAGAAAACTATGTTCGTCAAACAGATCGATAAACTGGGCCTAACAAGATTCCAAGGCGTAACTCGGTTTCCAGGTAGTGAAGTTCCAACTGTCTCACAATATAGTAGTATTTCTGTTTCATCAATGAATGTGACATCGCTTGTTAGTTTTGCTTTAGGTGAACGAGGTGCTATGCCAAGTACTTTTAGACTACGGATGTCGGAAATTCTGCCATATGTGGTGTCAAATAAGCCAGTAATATTTGCGACCGGTTGCGTAGTAAAAGCGGCACATTACTTATACTTATAAGGTAATTCACGAGATTCTACTATCGATTGGAATTTGTGCGTAACTTATGGTGCTTCGACATGTGAACCCTCTTTCTTTCCACCGATCTAACTATTTCCATGAGGTATTTCCTTACCACACAAGTTTTGCTTGTCAGTTGAGTCACTTCCTGCACTCTCCGAATTTCAGATACCCCGAGGCAACAATCAGTCACAAAAAGTCAAATTTAGTTTGTGCACTGTAAATCACGATTCGTCCTCGAATCCGGTCGACACGGTGCATGTGGACTGTGATGAATTGGAGCCCGGCGTTGAAAGCTGCAACGCGGTTCATACAAACTCTGTTCCGGTCACTGTTGTGGCAACAGTGACGACACCAACCACCATGGTCACATCGTCCATCAACCCTGTGGTGATTCCGACTCCGTTGGATCTCAGTCCCTTACCCATCACCGACTGTCCGCTCACTCCGGATTCGATTCAGCTGGCCAGTCCGAGCGAGTCGTCCACAGTGAATCGTGTACGTCGATACGGTACGGTTCGTCGCAATACCATGGTCCCATTCAAATTCCTATTCGGTGATGATCCGGAAAACCCAATAGCTCGGGGCAAATATTTGTCTCGAGATTCCGAGGGGGTAAACTTGTATCTAAGACTCGGAGCCGTTGGTGAGTCCCGGAAAATATTTTCAGTGCAAACTGTTAGTTATTTGGTTTTGAAAACTAAGTTCATCAGGAACAACAAACATCAATGTCTGCATGCAATTTCTCTTCCCCGTGTATCCAGTTCTCATTTGGGTGACCTTTTATGTGCAGATCTCGTATCAAATGAAAACAATTTCTGTGTATATAAAAATCGATGGAATGGAATCAGTGAATTAAAGTTTGATTGGATCGTTGATAAAATTTTCACTGTTTTATTGTGTAAAATTTCTTAAATTGTCCTGGCTTAGTTAAAAAAGATTAATATGGTCAGTGTAGGATGGTTCTATTAATCGCTGTTTCCCTTATATGATCACTGACTCACTTGAGGAAATGTATGCCACAAAAAAGCAGTTCACTTCTTTGATGCACAGAAACAGTACCACCACTGAGCAGAGTGCTAATACGCTTGTCGTACGTGCAGCAACAAGTCGAGCAACCGTGCAAATTTGTGAATCGGTTCCACTTCGCTTTGAGTGATCACAAATGGATACTTCACCCCAAAATCCTAGTGAAAATTGTACGTGTCACGAGGAATATTCTTCTCGGGGATTAGTAATCCAATCATGACAGGAAAATAAAATGATCAGTAAACACTGATTCACGCTTCAGGTTACCAGGTAAAATTTCGAGTTCTTATTGCCTCTTCCTCGTCATTCCAGATGAAATATATCCTAATACTCACCGTGCAATCATCAATGTCTGGTATAACTGAAGTCCTAAAGTGGTAATTTATTCATAACGAAGAAGACAAAAATCAGGCCGATGCAAACTGAAGACTTCACGTAAACATCTCCGTATAATATTATTCCCGAAACTTGGTCTCATAAAATGCTATGGTGGTAGTCACAATGTCGTGAGTTCAAATCCTGTCATCGCCGCTTCAGTCCCGAAATTCTTTCATCAGTTGCAATCCCTTGACTACACAGTTCAGTTCTCGTAAATAATTATAGATTCGGATAATGAATTAAATAAATAAACAATCGCAATTAATACCGTTATATTGCGTCTCATACGTAATAAGCTACGTGAACTTTAAAACGTTTTCCCCTTAACAATCTTAGAGCGTATGAATTCGAAACAGCCTGGAGACCAAAAGCTACCGAATGCATTCACACCATTCCAGGTGAGATGAACGAATAACACTTATTGCGGGCTCACTGACCACAAACAGCTTCGAGCTATCGCCTTTACTCAGATTTTAAGACAATCTTTTGGGCGGATTTCTGTCTGTAACCATTTTCTTCTCTCTGTGTTGTTCCCGGTTGCGGCACAGGATTCGGATTTGGGGTGATGATTTTTGATGGATTTAAAATTGCGGAGCCCTGGGAGGCGGATATTACTGGAGCTGGTCAATGTCACAGTTCCCTTTGGATTCCCATCCACGTGCTGCATTTTGTTTATGTATTCTGGCAAACCTACTTCCTGTTCAAGCATCATCAGGTAAGTCAGATGCGAGTGAATCAAAATTACAAGAGATTATATTTGAACGAATAGATAGGCAAATAGATAGATAGATAGATAGATAGATAGATAGATAGATAAATAGATAGATAGATAGATAGATAGATAAGAGAAACACTGGAGAAAGCTCACGCCCATGTTTTATGTACTCTTGTTGTTTTGTCCATCAGAATAATGCCAAATTAATAAATTCTACCATCGTGTATCGAGGTTGACGGAAATATTTGAGCAGTGGTGGTCGAATGGTGTAGGATACTATTCCCCACACCAAAGTCCCCCTAACCATTTGTGTATTGGTTTTATCGGCCTTCCCCTAAGCCATTGTAGCCTCTTTCCTGAGAATTTACCGTACCTGTAGACATTCTATAGATAGAAAAGGAAGCACATGAGAGTAAAAGGGGATTCAATTTTTTCATACGGTGACTTTTGCCGTGTACCGAACAAAACCAGAACCATCATTTCCAACAAATAGTACTTGGCTGTGCAAGCGATTGTGGTGCATCCCCGAAGGAACAGACCGAATAGTAACAGGGATACTTTGTTTTTATCAGTCTCTAAAGAATCATCTTTGATTCCTCCAAGAAGACAATTTATCCTAACATAGGATCAAACCGATTAAAAGTGTGGGTTAGAAAGCTCTCGTTATGGATGATCCTAAGTATTTTGTTCATTGAATAGAATATACAAACATTGTACCGAGTAAGCCATAGATATCGCCTAATCTTCGTTTCAGTGACATCTTTTTGCCGCTTTATTGAGTGAGGCTCCATGCTTGCAGATGTTTCATCAGTAGCCGGATTGCCATCTCCAGGTTTTCCTGCATGGTTCTTCGGTTTGATTTCAGAACTGTGGAGTGACCATCTCTGTGTTTCATATCATCCTGTTCTTAAGTGTTTTTGGAGTCGATCCCAAGCTCGGTTTGTATCTTCCCCCAACCTCGCACTCCGAGAGAATTGGAAGCGGATTGTAACTTTGAGTGATGGTCACTGTTCATCCGTCATCACAAAGTATGAGAGTAATAAAGAATTCGAATTGATTACATGGTAACTTCTTCCTGTACACAGTAAATAATGCATGGATTGAAAAGTTTGGAAGCAACGTACAGCTGGCTAATCCTGAGTTGTGTTTATCAGTAGTACAAATCTATCGGCCCAACCGGTTACTACTTACAAAAAAGGACATTATTTAAATTTATATATCCCATCCATCGGCAAGGTGAACCCCTCTCCAAAACTTTTCTCTCTTGCCCTCACCCACACCATTCAGATAGTGTTCAATGTACAAAAATTTGCCCTGCGATTCCTTCTGTGTCATTTGGCGGTGGCCAATTTGTGCCAGTGGTTGAAGACCATTGTGGATGAGATCAGTGACGAACCACCGCATGAGGCTGAGACTGTGGCGAATGAGTCCCACTCGCTGTGGGCTGCATTCGGTCACAATCTAGTCAAACGAAGCAGCCAGTTCAATCTGTCCCTGGCCGATGTTCATTCAACCTACCCCGTGGAAGTGATCAACTTTACCAGTGCTTACACAACGGAAGCGGAAACACATCACTTGGGGAGTGAGTTAGAGTACATTTTAATGGGTGGATAGATGGGTGTCCAAATCGAATGCAAACATACACATCACTTATGCACAAGTTAGAAGAGTATTTGGTTAATCCCACTCGGTGACAAAGAGAAATACATTTTTGTCGAACCAAATAATAATCGAGATTCTCGAACTTGGATGAAAAGTAGATTTGCGAACTGCTTGTATTATTTAATGTTTACCAATTTCTGAAATAAAATCAATCTGACCGACGGGACAACCATAATTTTATCAGGGGGTGAGAGACGTACGTATGCAGCCGGTCGGCCATCAGAGAGCTTAAGTCATTCGCGTTAATTGATCATCAACAGTTTCTTTGATCTCTATGCTTATGGGAACGGAACGACGGAGCTAAACATTGTATTCCCCTCCGATTCCTAACAGCGTTTCGTAATTTTCGATGGTGGCCAATTTCTCACCTCATCTCCAGAGAATAGGAACATTTAACGAGAATGCATGATACTGTGGATCATGTAAGAACCTGCTTAGTTCGAATTCCTATTCATTCAAAATGGTACATCAAAGCGTGATTGAACTCTAACTATCTGTCTCAGTGCTCGGAGGCATAAAAACGATTCACAAATCGGACTGATGATAAATAAACTGGCCTCGTGTGATGCAGATTGTTACAACAAAGTAATTTGTTCGAGCCCCTGACTATCAGATAGACACTACTGAGGGTGTGAAGTGGGATGGATTTCGTTACATTACGTCGCATCATTTCCTCGATCTCGCAATTACTTGTAATACGGCAATGGTGTGTCTACAATGTGGAATCACGCACACGCACACACACACACACACACACACATACACACAATAATGAGCGTAACGATGGAGAAAAAGGACTATTAACGTTTCGGTTAAAACGAGCAATGAATTACGCTCATTGATTAGGATAGATTGTAAATCTTTACTCTGAAATTCAAGGCAAATTTACACATTTCGGAGTCAGAGTGATTGCGTGAGTTTAAACAAAGGAAGGATTAGATGACAGTAATGGCTGTGATTATATTTGATAGTGGATTTCGTCGTGTATAGAGCAGATTAGCTGGGAACTGAAAAGCAAGGGAGTAGTTGATAGTTTTTTCGATGTGCTCGGGTCTCGTCAGCAGTGCAAATCCATCGAGCTCGGGCTCCCACAGGTGGAAGGCAAGCGTACGATCTACTCGGTTACCGAGCAGATGATCAGAC